GAGTATCTCGGAAATTTTTATTTCAAAGGGACAGGTCTCATGCTATCTACGTACGTAGACGATTTGACATTATCCGGTCCGTCCGAGCACCACGCTCCGTTCTGGAATCAACTAATGTCACAAGTAAACGTAGAACCTCCCGAAACCATTTATAGAATCCTCGGAAGAAACCATGTTTACGCTAGTTTCGATAAAGTTCAGGGTGAAGAGAACGCTGCTTTAGGCGCGGCCCCAGATGCGTTGATTTTCGACATGAAGGACTATGCCCAACAAACCATAGACCTTTATAAAACTGTGGCTAAAGTCGACAAAATCAAACCCGCACAAACCCCCTTCATCCCTGACGGAGCATGGACAAACGAGGACGAGGATTCCCCTGGAGAACTCGCCCCGAAAGCATGCTCAATACTAATGAAGGCCCCTTGGTTGGCCCGCCTGTCCAGACCTGACATCCTTAAGCCTATTAACGACTTAGCGACTAAGGTCCAAGCCTGGACCAAAGTACATGATAAGAAGTTATTAAGGCTAATTCAGTACCTCCAATATTCGTTAGACTAAAGATTAACTGCCTCCTGTCAAGACGATCCTAAAGATCTAAGACTCGAGCTCTATGTCGACGCCGATTTTGGAGGCGATCACCATGACGTCAAGTCAACCTTGGGCGGATTCCTGACATTAAAAGGCCCTAACACATTTTTCCACTAGCATGGATCTCCAAGAGACAGATATCCACATCTCGGTCCACCACCGAGTCAGATGTGGTAAGTCTGGCACACTCGCTCTATCAGGAAGGCGTTCCAGCCCTCCAACTATGGGAGAAATTATTGCAGAGGCCGGTGGACTTGATCATCCACGAGGACAATCAAGCCACCATCATCGTCGTTCGTAAAGGGTATTCCCCAAAACTTCGTATCGGCCGAACGCATAAAATTAACCTCTCATCTTTGAAAGAGTGTCTTGATGACCCATGTATAACTGTTCAATACATAGACACTAACGAGCAAGCCGCCGATATCTTTACAAAGGCGTTGCCACCACAAAAGTGGTTCAAGGCCATATGCCTTCTTGGCATTCGAACCGATATCCGCAAGCCACAGCCATCTCTCAGAGACCGAAGCTTTTCGTTGGGGTCTAGGACAGAAGCAAAAGCCGCTGCTTCACGCGCGGTAATTAATGCATGTACAGCGAACCCATGACACGCAAAGCGGCGAGGGGGGAGTCAAAATATCACGCACTGTGGTAACCCCTATATAACTTGCCATGTCATGATGTGTTCATGTACAGTGTTTTCGGACGTCGGTCGTCAAGACATTGTTTCACACCGACGCCCATCATGGCTCAAGAAACAAGTGCGCCCGTGCTTGTTTCAGCACTCGTGCACGCCGGTCGGTTCGATCGTCGTGTCGCTGCATTCGTTCGCTTTCGTGCCTTCGTGCATTTCGGGTTGTGTTTGGTTTCGGGTCGGTTGCCGTAGGTGCTCCCTCCCCTAACTCACATCCCATATTACACAACGGGGACCAAGCCCTCCGGGGTCCCTCGTCGTGTCCCATCCCATGCTAGGGTTCTTGATACAATTGGTTATCTCTCTGAACACCTCCCACTCCGTAGGTTGTGGTGGCTGTTCCCTGTTGATATACCTGAACCCTTGTCACTTTCATTATCTTCAATCTTCAATCCAGCCACCATGAATTTTTTAAGACATATAAACATACTATGTCTTTGGGACCTGGATTGAAGATTGCTGAACAAACTTTTTCTAGGCATCTTCAATCTTCAATCGTCAATCCATGTCCAAAAAAAAGATATATTTTTTTACCACAAAAGACTATGTTTTTTCCTAGAAAACAGTCGTTTTAGAAAAAGGATCAGCCGGATTTCAGATTAAATTCTTTTGCACAGGAATGACTCTACTGAGTCATACCTTCTCAATGCATCAGAACCAATGCCACCTTACAAATGTGGCTGGGAAGAATGTGGCCACATTTGTAAGGGGAAACCACATATATATATATACTATTTATAAACTTTTGGCACCAGATGTTTTTACATACTATAAATATTTTCAATATTTATAACATTGATAAACTTAATTGCTCCAGGAACCCGGGGAAACTCCTTTTTGCAATATTTGTACATTTCAGGCCCAAACATTTGTAGATATTACAAATATGTTCCGTTTAATCATGTCCATTCTCTTTTCTAAGGATAATATATCTAGCTTTCTTAAGGACATATTTGCAGAGAAAGACCAAATATGATTATTCTTAAATTTTCGGCCCCAAAGTTTCTATAGATTGTAAATGTGCCTTTGAACTCCCTTTCATTATCCTTTCTAAGTGTATATGTGGCTTTCTCAAGCCGCACAAGCCAATATTTATAGGATTTAAACATGTAATCTATTTAAACTATTTTAAGTCCCTAGCTTTGGGAAGTCTGCATTTTAAGCCCCATATATTCCTATTTTTTCCTCTTAATGTCCTCTTAATCTCCTTTTGGATTCCTTTTGGTTCTTGTTGATGCCCTTTTACCCACATTTTGATGTCAACGGATTTCATTTTTTTAAAATTCCTTTGGCTACATTATTTTTTTGATTACGTTTGATTCTTGTTGGTTACCTTTTTGTATATCTAAACAACTTGCTGTTATATAATTCTTCTGATTTTTCCCGTTTGATTCTTTTATTGGCTTTGAATGATTACCTCTTGAATTCTGAAATAATGTTTTCTTTAAAACCACATATTAAATCGCGTCATTGCAAAATCTTTTCCACCAAGGAGGTGGCCCAGTACACTAGAAATCGTGAATAGTACTGCCCCCTGCAATAACAATTGGTTTTTTTGGGCTTTAATAATACCACCACCGCGATTATATAAATCCTTGGCTTTTCCATGTGTAAACACATATTATTATCTCAAATATTGTGTTCGCTTTTGCTCTAGTGTGATTTTATATAATGAAAACATCCCCTGCAATAATGTCCATGCCTTTCATTGTTCAACATTGTTATTGTTTTCTATTTCTCTCCCCTAAGCTCCCTCGAATGTTGTTTTCGTTTTTTTAACTTAATGCTGCAACATTTTTGTTTTCTTATCCAATCAACTGTTTGTCCTCCAGTTTCTGCTTCCTTTGCTCATTTGCATCTACCAATCTATCTCTTATCACAACTACATCTTGGTCCACATCCATTTGCATTTGTCAAACACATATAAAAGGTAGATCTTGGGGGGGGTAGCATATATATATATATGTAAAAATAGCAATTGTTCTTTGCATTTGTTTGGGGGGTAGGCTGTAGTCGCTTAAGAATCTACTAAGTGGGACGCAGAAGAGCTTAGACTTCTTCCGGATTGATTTGGCTCCTCAACGTTTAGGGAAGCTTAGCATTCGAGCAGGCGAATAGATTGAATTGTTATCATTCACAGAGTTTCTGAAGCAAAGCATTCTTCTTTTTCCAGACACAGTGAGGATTTGGGTTTGTGGAATCTTCCCACTGCGGTGGCAGAGTGCTGCGTGCCTACTCTCTACAGCAGTGGCGATGGCCGCAGCAGCCCAGCTGAGATGGTATGAGATCACAAGGGGTGCTCTCAAAACAATATGTATTGGACCTGCAACATAGGGATCCTTTCATACCTTTGACCTGTGCCAAGCTGTTGCGACAAACATGTGATGAGTCGTCCTTGCAGAACCAGTCAAAGCAAGGTCGTGTGTCTCTTCATTTTCCTGAGATAAGGCGCGTGGTTAGACTTCCTGATGACATTGGAGTCGTTTGAAATGTTTGCTCCACGACATTGCAGGATTCAAGCAGGCGAAGCACAAATGCCCACCACAAGTGACCAACTTCATGGGAGCCAGCGCTGTCTGAAATCAGGAATGCGCTTTTTTGTGCTTCTGTTTTAACACCCCTTGATCTTTGTTTCAAGACCGAATCACAGAGAAGCTGGAAAACAGATTGCCTTCTGCTGAAAGACATTTGTGTGCACGCTCACAATTTGAGACGGTCTTATCTTGGGAGCAAATGGGCATCTCTTGTGTTTCGCATTGGCTTGACTTGTCATCTAGCTTTTTACTTTCCATGCTGTGCATGTGGAGAACACTCTCCCAAAGCACTTCCCATGAGCCAAAAACAGTATGTTGACAACTAGAAGTTATTAATTTGTGTTGGGAAAACGGTCGAAGGAAGTCTCAGTTACCTCAAGTCTTGGTAAGCAGTCCCGCCAATTGTGGACTTGGAGGCGCTCTACAAGTAAGTTAAACATGTTAACAACATGTTTGGCCAAGCAGGTTGAAGTACTATGATTTCCATAAAAATGGCGCTCTGAGCAGCGAACTGCTGATTTATGAGGCTAGGCTCTGGTGCCTTCCGACATGCAGCGTGTATTCCTGAAACTGGTAAGGCTTCATGGAACCGTGCTGAGAACACCCGACGGGCCTGCTGAAGTGCACCTGCAAGTTGAGCGGCCGTTGCCGTTGCCTGCTGGCATCAAGAGATAAGGTAATTGAAAATGGGAACTCCGCATATTCCAGTGCCGAATGACCACACATCGATTGCGTAGCTGTTGCGCTTGGTGCTGCTACCAAATCCAGAGGCGGCTTCTGTCAGTACTGGCGTTGTGGCATCTTCGACAGGCCATTTAGATTTTGTGCTGACAGGAAGAACGCCTGTCAACAAAAATACATACAATACACTGCCTTGTGTTTAGTAGTTTTAAACACCGCCTGGAAATTGTGTGACCGTTGCCTAATGGCGAGTATGGACATAGAAGTTTTGCTGCTCAAAGCTGGGATTGACAAAGGGATGTCCACCAACGATGATGAGTGGGATGCAACCACATTGCGCTCAGCAACTGAGAACAACCACCCTGATTTTGCCTGGTTTTTGCACAGTCCTGAGGCAATCGTCCAGATTTAGAATATCCGTCTCTTGTGGCTTCCATGTGCTGGCTGGCGACATGTTTCTCCCTTCTCCAGTGCAAGGGCAAATGCAAAGTTGTTGACAGTGCATGCTTGGCACTGAGCATGAAAAACATGCAAACTGTATCCCGAGGATGTGTCTATTCAACACTGACACTGACCCAGGTGAAGAATCGAGTCTTGGGAAGTCATTTGTTCCAATTCCATCAAACTCCGCGTTCTTCGCGTCCGTCGCCGTTTACGGAACTGTTCCTTTCACAGGCCGCCTTGATGGCGAAGCAGCCTTAGCAAGGCCTGGTGTGAGGGTTGTAGCTTCGTTCCGTCGAACCGCAGACACAGCTTGACACAAACACAGTTGGTTTCAGCGGGTTTCAGAAAAACTGCCAGCTTCAAACACTTCTTGTGCTTCAAGCACTTCCAGGACAAACCCCTCAAGGTATACACAAGACTCATCTATGCCACAAGGTCGGCATCAGAAGCTACACACGCGCTATGTCATAGAGAGGTGGTCAGTCTAACCGACCCCCTGTTGGAAGCACCGCCGCCGCCGGTGATCGGTGACCGTCACAAGCAAGGACGCTACTAGGGGCTCCTGGCCGTACTACTAGGAGCAAAGGACGCTACTAGTAAGAAAGGGCATCGCTACTAGGAGCAAAGACGGTTGCGCCACCCGCAGGGCGTCCCAAGTCTTTGCCGCAGTTGCGGCCGTCGACCAAGCACCTGGACGAGAGATCTGTGAAGAGTTGCTGACCAAGGAGGTACCAAGGCACGCACCGCCACGTGTTGTGACAAGTAAGTTGTTATTGAATGTGAGAGACTAGGGTGACTATCTTGCTGTTGTTGATGGCCTTAAGTTCCTATGTACCTGGAAACGTGAAGCCCAACCAATCCTGTGACAGTAGAAAGACGCTGAAGGAACAAAGAGCACAAACTCACAAAGGATTTCTCATGATTCCTCTTTCAAGTCTATGTCACCCGTTTTGAGTTCTGAGGGCTTCTGAACTCTGGGCTGACCGTGGGCGACGCGGTTTGCACTGCGGCATTTGGATGCTTGGAACCCAGGAGGGCTAGGACTGGGCTTCAGGATGCCCGTCCCTTGGTGCCAGGTCTGTGGGAGGAAGCTCTGCAGAGAAGGAGGTGCCCAAGGCGAAGCATCCTGAGATTCTTGCTCCGATCGTAGTGATGCCCTGTGTTCCTAGTAGCGTCCTTTGCTCCTAGTAGTAAGGCCAGGAGCCCCTAGTAGCGTCTTTGTTCATAGGCCTCGCAGAATACTTATTTGCACTCAGCTTTGCATCAAGCGTCGGCTCAGCCCAAAGTGGCACGTGTTGTGCGGCTATGTGCTACACACATGAACAAAATGACAGACTATTCTGTGATGTTCTATGTTGACCCGAACAGTAAATCCTTTTCCAGCATGTCATTCGCAAAAACATTTCCCAACAGATAATCAATCTACAGTAATAGTCAACATTCAATATCCTTCCAAACTTGTACCGCCTTTGTTTCTACCTAAGCTGGTCTACTCTATGCCAACTTCTCCACTTCTTTGTGCTTGAACGTCTGCGACAAACACCGTCTTGCTTCGAAACCCAACTCCTGAAGTGCAGGCACCATCCTCTCCACTCCTGCCGATTTGGCCGTTCACTTGGATGCACCCTGCCCACTGGTTTTTTGGATTTACTCGTTCTGTGGAAGGCTAGAAGGGGAGCTGATGGGCCGGCAAGTGTGGCCGCAGCCAAAGGCGTGCTGTGACTTGTCCGTTTCAAGTGAGCATCTGAATCGAAGCCTCTAAAAGTTTTGAAAGCATCGAATCTTTCAACTCAACACCAGATACCACGCAGACACCATTTCGACATAGTTCGACTCAATCTTTCGCAAAAGTGCCCCTTTCTGTGGAGGTGACCATCTCAGGACGTTTGGAGGCACGTGGAATTCCCACCTCCATGCGGAGCGCTGCAGAAGCCTTTGCAAAAAGAGAGCGGATCGCAATGACTCACCGCAGGGCCTGAACGAAAACTCATTAACCGTGCACTGGGAATCTCATGCTTCGGGCCTGGAGAAGCCAGCGTTTTTCTTTTTTTCCTTCTTGAAGCAACACTTCGGCAAAGTAGCCCGCGCCGCTCCATTGCGTTGCCCTGAAAGCCATTGCCGGCTTTGGGTTTCTGGTATTGCAATCGATCACAACGGAGCCACTTCAAGAAACTCTCCAAAACACATCGTTTGAGCAAACAAGGCATCAAGTAGGTATTGCTTAGTGGTACGGCGCAAGCCAGGAGCTTATGCTGGGACGGGCAGTTTGAGCTTTTTCTTTATGTGTCCTTTCATGCTCGCTATATATTTCTTCTCAATGTAATCATCAAGCAAGAACTTGCTCGCAGTAGTTCCATGACAAGTCAATCCGTTTTGGACGTGAAGCAACGGATTGAAAGCCTTCAGCTACGCTCCTGGTTCAAGCTTGACCTGTGCAATGAAATTTGTGTTTTGAAGGCTTGAGCCAAAGTGCTCACTCAGTTGGAATCAGGTCAGGTGACTGCTCTCTTATCTCTTGCTACGTTGCAACTGCTACAGCTTGCTTTGCACATTTTTCCTCTTACTTCGTTGCTGACAATGACCAATTAGGCATCTACTGTGTCATTCTCCTTGATATTCTCAACAGAACTTTCTCTTCAGGCATGAGGTGTGCGGAAGTCCGCATCATGCCCAGACTTGTCTGCTTGGGTATCTAGCTAGCTGCAAAAGCGCAGTTAACGCGCTGTCCAGCAATCCCGGTCCACCTGATGGCCTGAGACCAAAGACCACAAAGACACATCAGCAAAGCAATGGCCTCCAACCTGGCGATGGCCTCCAACCTAGTAGCAATGGCCTCCAGCCTACGACACATCAGCAAGAATGCAGCCACAAAGCGAAGGGTGTGAAGCTCGAGGCCTGAGACAGGGCAGAGACACAAGCTTTAGCAGTTTGGTTTGAACTAAAAGATCCAGTTAACCATGGCGACCACAAGGGACCTGGGAAGCGGACGTTGACGTGGCTGGGCCAACTTCAACAACAGAAGAAGCCAGTTGTATCGTGCCTGGTCCTTCTCAAACTTTTGCAAGTTGAAGCAGCTCACGTAAAGCACAATGGTGAAAGAGCTGTCGCTAAAAGAGGGTAGAGATACACTCATGACTCACAGCAACCGCTGTTTGGTAATGCTGGCGACATGGTGGCAAAGCCGTCCCTAAGACAAATCGCTCATGACAGTGGCTTTCTACCAATGCACTCTTCGACTGTGATTCCAGAGAATTCCGATTTTCTCTAATGCATTGTAACGCACCACACAACCTAATTAGGTCATGTTGCTGAAGAGGGTTCTGGTGACAAAGCTTTCGTGCACCAGCCACGTTTTCAACACTGGCCGTGCATTTGCGCTGATTCGATCTCTAGAACTTGATTAGATCCAAATCTCCATTTGTGCCAGGCCAAGTTTCCTACATCGCAGCCAGGCGGGCTGCCAAAGCACGCTGGAGGTTTGAAATCCACTCACATAGTGAAGACCTCTGAAGATTAAAGATCTATGGAGAAGGTCTATTCCTCTAAAACAGGGGACTGTGAGAGTGCAGTTTTTCTTGGTTTCTGCATTAAGGGAATCTGCCTCAACGTTCTTTGTCTGTGTGCGACATAAACTTTCCATGGTTGTCTGCCCTTCATGCTATGTGCATCTGAAAGCTGCCTCAATGTCACTTGCAATGAGAAAACCAAAAAGCAACCAACACCTTGAGAAAGCAAAAAAACAGCTAACACCTTGAGAAAACCAAAAGCAGCCAAAACCTTGAGAAAACAACATGTCAATGTAAGTGTAACGATACTGCAAAAGCATATGTACAGTATGATCATGCCAACGACCATTAGGCTCAAGCATGCCCTGCGGAGAAAGGTGTTGCGAGTCGCCTTGCTGCGCATGGTAGTTGGATAGCTTTGTCAACTGTCGGGTTGCAGGGTTAATATCCACTCGAAGGTTGTCAGCCGTAGCCGCTCTGAGGTTACGAGCTTTGAAGAGACCAAAAGAAGAAAGTCGACATTTGACCTGCAATGTCTATATAGTTCCGGAGGAAACGGCAGTGAACCCTTTTCCTTTGCCGCACCTGGAGGAACTATGTCCCAATCGTCACCAGGATCATTGACTGGTGCGAGTTCAGCAGATGCTACAGTACTCACAATGCCAACAGGATCTCAAGTGTCAGGAGAAAGTAGAGTTGCTCTACCGGAGCACCCTACTGGATCCGATATGAGAATGGGCAATGCAAAGAGAACTTTACGAAGATTTACCAGGTCTACTTCGCCAAGAACATCTATTGCCAAATCACCGAAGAGGAATATTGAGAAAGTAGAGCTCGACGAAGTAAGGGATGTAAGAGAGAAAGAGATTCAGCTGATGGACCATGGAGGAACTGCGTTCCGCCAGATTGTCGCACCAGTTCTTACGTGACGATTACCAACTGTCTACACGCTGGATATACACAACTATTTTCGAGATCTGAAGAAGAGTTCGCACAGATTTCAGCTTACAGCAAGTCTATGCAGGAACACCTTCAAGAAATGATGCAAGAAGATGAAGGAGCAACCGCCAGAATTGGAGAACTTGAACACAAACTTCGTCTTGCAGAATCAATGGCAGATCACATCTATACAAGGTATGAAGTGCTGGCTCAAGAGAGCCACGAAGAACATTCACAACTCGACTCGGTGAAATCCAAGATGGAGGACATGACCAACGAGCTACAGAGTGCCTTTCACTATATCCAGGAGCAAAATCAGAACTCTGATGCTTCCAATCGCCGTGCTCGTGCTTGGAGTTGGCACTACAGGACGAGAACGACAACATGTTGGAGGTAACTCAGAGAGACAGAGAGAGACAATGGAACAGTGAAATGCAACAGAGTTGATTGATCAGGTGATGGAAACATCTGACCAACAACATCAAGAACAAAGGATTGTTGATCATCTACGTGGGCAGCTAGCGGGTCAGAACTCAGCACCGTCGGCCGAGACGAATGTCGAGACTTTGATCAGAAAACTGAAGCCCACACCTACCAATTGGAGGTCTCCGACAAGGAAATGAGAGCAGGCCAATTCAATACGAGGCAAGAGCGATGAAGGAAGTCGTGGTCCACCGAAGAGCTAAGGAGCAACAACAGCAGTTGAAGGACGCCAACCTTGCTCTTACAGAAGCTAACAACATGCTGAGGAAAATCTCACGAGAACTCCAAAGAACTTGAGAAGGACCTGTATGACACTGTATGAAACCTCAGAAGAGTTGTGGGATACGAGGACAGAACGAAAGCGACACTCCGCCATAACCAACAGAATACTAGTCGTGATCACAATGAAAGCCACGCGGGGCAGGGGTTACCGACCTCAGCCCGACGATGGCGATATCGCACGTCTGAAAGAGGGAGAAGCTCAATAACTTAGGGATGGCCGCGATGAAATGTATGAGTGGTGCACAGCCTTCAGGAGTCCCCGCCGCAATCCCGTGCACAGTCCACCGCTCCATCTGGGCGATCGGGCACCTCGCATCATCTGGGCTGATGCCGAGGTCACGGGCGCGGTTGATGATGCCACTCCTTTGTTTCGTGATTCGAGCCTGCGCATCCATCCAACATCACTTCCACTTGAGTCTGACACACCACAGCAACGGTGCGGCGCTGGTAGCCGCCACTAGCAGGACAGTGACGCCGGCAACTCTTCCAAGTTGCCCGCTTTTCTGGCGTCTCCTTCCTTCAGCCTCAAGGAGGATGTCACACGCACCTTGCTGACCTGCTCAGCTGCCGGCTTCGCTGGCCGCAACCTTGAGCCGATCTTCCCTTCCAAGTCCAGACTTCCGGCTTCTCGCGGAAAGTCACATGCTTCTGAGCCTCCCAAACCGAAAACACCTGGTTAAGAGCTCCTTCGTCCACCAAGACGGAGAAGGCGCTGAATCTGAATGGGTTGGTGATCATCCTACCAGCACTCTGCATCCCTCCAGCACATCCCTCCAGCAGCGGCTGTTGCGCGACGAGGTGCTGTGCCCCACTTGGCGCTGCAGACGACGCCTGGGGTATGACCGAGCCGGCAGCGCGTGCGTCACGTCGCAGCCGTCTCCCTTCTTACAGGAGCCGTGCTTGAGGAAGAACGGGCAAAGGGTGCCCTTTTTCTTTTGCGTAGGCGAGCGACTCCGCCCTGCCTTTCTCATCACGCTTCCCACTCTGCCACTCGGCGTGTACTTCCCTGGGCCTGGGGAGCGGGGCCTTCCTTTCCCTTCACTTTTCTCAGTGGCATTGATCTCTTCCTTGCGCTCCGCCAGGACGCGCTTTCCCATTTCTCGGTCATGGCTGTTGCCATGATCCCGGAAAAGGAAGCAGGTCTGCGACTTCTTGTCTCCCTTGCCAGAGCCCTTGTCTCTGGTGGTGGTGGTGAGAACCAAGTCTCCACCCTTCTCGCCTGAACCTTTCTTCGACGACCTTGGTCAAGACTGAATAGCACGGTTCGTCGCCTCGCTCTGCTCGTATTCTAGGACGAGCTTGTGCGCCTCTTCCCAGATCCTAGCTGTCCTGAGATCTGCCTCTCCGGGCCAGATGCGCTTTTCTCGTCTGACCTCCTTCTGCAAGGCAGGCCCGATCTTCCTGTATATATATGACAGGAAGCGTTCTCGCGAAGTCTTTTCCAGCCCAATATCTCCTCGAGCTCCGCTATCAAACGCTCGAAGAGTGGCTCGAACTGGTGCCATGTGACCAGGGTCGCGTGTTCCGAGTCCACTCGGATCTCACGCTCCTCCACCGACTCGCTGAACAGCAGGTGCTTATAATTACTCTTGATCTTCTCGTGGACTTCTTCCGGGTTCGTTGGCGGTAGATGTTCTGGAAAGTCTTGAGCCGCGAACCTCAGCATCTGCTCCACAGCGTAACCAGGGTCTCCCTCTTTGACATTCCCTTCCATTCTCGAGACCGCAATTGTCTTCAAATGTCTTTGTAGAACTCCGTCACCCTCACGTCTGTGTTTTCATCTGACAAGGTGGGCCAACGCAGGTGCGTCTTCGCGGTCGTGATGGACCCTTGGTTGCTCTCGCCGATGGCTTGCTTCAAGACTTCTGTCTGAGCTCGCAATATCTCCTGATGCTCCGAGCGCTGAAGCCGACTCAGCTGCCTCATCACGGCTAAACCGGGTCTTCAGACCTTCCAGCTCGATCTCAAGCGCAGAGAGCTTGCCTCGCAAGCGGTCTTCTTCGTCCCTCCGAGCTGTTGGGTCGCCAGGGGCACGATCCGACGAGGGGGGCGAGAAGACCTTAAACGGGCCAGCTGACTCCTTCCCACCACTTAATGAAGGTCGACAGAGCAGCGGCCTGTTGCGCCCGCTCTATGTCAGGCATCTTGTCGTCCAACGGCGCATTCACAAACAGGTCTCTGGCTACTCTGGTCAGAGTCAGAGACCCTTCAGATCCTGGCTGGGAGCTCTTGCGTACGCGAGACTTAGCCCTGCGCCTCGAGCTTCATAGCTCTAGCTCCTCTGGCGAGATTCCATAAGCCTCACCCAACTCATCCAAGCTCGCCCGAAGTCTCTCCAGACGGCGAAGGTAAACCACCGCTGGCGAAGCGGGATCTCAACAGCATCCTCTGCTCTTCAGCAGTGAAGCCTTCCGACCCAACGGAAGCGCCCGAGCGCGTTACCCTTTCTACCGAGGCGGACGGCGAGCGTGTGGCTACACCGAGCCAAGTGTTCCTGTCAAGTGGCCTCAGTGGGTCACTTGAGCCAAAAATGCAAGTGAGACGTGCCAGTCAAAACAACAACCATGGTTTACAGTGGTTGCTAAGCCGTGACGTCAACGACGTCCACGGGCGCGGCCGACCTACGGCAACCGAGCCGGCATCACGCCCCGCTGGAGCAACAGCTAAAAACACTCACAGCCCCCATTCGCCTGTTTCCTTCAAATTATCATCCCACCATACGCCGCTTTTTGTCAAAATATGTCCGGTTTCATCACACAATTTAAGTCAAACTCAATGCAAACTTAGTCACTATTCAACTCCAAGATATTTAGTTCAAGTTATTTCTTAAGCAACACCGTTCTAATTCTAGAAAGGATGTGTTGCTCTTAAACTGATAGCTTCAATATTCAACTTTTGGAATATAAATAGTACTAAAATGTAATAAAGATAGAATGAAAATAGAAGCAAGTTAAAACTAAATCATGAATACATCATAATTCAATTGGAATTGAAATAGAAATAACCTAGAATTGTGAATCAATACAGTGTGAGTTGTATAAAGAACAAAACAATCAATTAGAAATAAGGACAAGTACAAAAAATTGGAAAAATAGAATCTTCCATGAGCTGAGTTGAGTCAAAACAAAAACATTTTTACAGTCCAGTCAGTGAAGAGTTCAAACTTTGAGCAACAAATGAAGTCAAGAAAACTGCACTCTCACAGTCCCCCGCACTCATATTCATTTTATTCAATGTTTTGATATGTTTTTATAATGTTTTGCTCCTCTATTGCTTGAGTAGACCCCACTCACCTGGTGTTCCTTCCAGGTGTTTGTTTGTTGCGGCCCAGCAGTCAGGTGTTTGGGCAGATGTCTCCTCAGCTGCGCTTTTTTGCAGCAAGTGAACCTGTGCGGAAGCCTGGAAACGGGAAACGGTGGAGCCACTGGAAGCACAAGTCGAGTCCACACAAGTTCAAACTGACTATGGAAATTCATATATGAGCAGCCGCCAGAACGTGCAATGAATAATTTAGCAAAGAGCGGTCGTGAATTTCAGGAATTTGGCTAAAACCTGCAAAAACGACAACCTTTCTGAACCATGTCCTCTACTTGACAGTACTTGACAGTATGTTTTGGCAGATGTTGATATAAAATGGTACGTTGCGGAACCATGTTTTGCTTCATTTCTTTTCTAGGCTGGGCTCAACTCCACCACGGCACCATGTGGGTATGGGTTAAAACACATCAAAACACTACAGTAACAGATTTGACTCCTTGGTTTTCACGGCTAAAAGGAGGTCACGTGCTCCTTCACCTTTAAACCCTAGCATGTCGAGGCAAACATCCATAGATACAATCGATTTGTTGTTTGGAATACCAAAACAACGTTTGACATCGACTGGTGATCACACTAGACACACAGCTGGGACCACCCTGGCACAGGAGAAGATTCGCAAGCATCAGCCGGAGGTTCAGGACGAGGCGGCATCCATACTTTTGGAGATTGCTTCTGCCACCATTCATGATGCATCCGCAGCCTTTCTGTGAGCCAGGAAATGCGCAATTCCAGGCCAAGATTCCCAGCTTTGGCTTGGTGCCCAGTACAGTGGTATTGATGTCCGTGGCTTTTGCACTCTCCTTCCACCTCGTATCCACCTTCCGACATCTTCCGACTGAGATCTTTGCTGGCTTCTGTGCCATAGTGATGCAGGGCGCTTGGTGGAAAAAAGACACCGGTTAGACCTGACTCCGGTTCGGAATGCTTGACGCGGACAAAGCAATGATGGCGGAAAAGCGAACCCATCGTACTTCGAAGCGATTCGATGTCAAGGTTTTGCTGGGTGCCCTTCCTGTTCGGTCCAGTGTGGCTTGGTTCATCTTTGGAAAGCGGAACAACACAGGTGGGGATTCTAAGTGTTTTTTTGAGATGTGAACTACACTGGCCTTTGGTCTTGAGTGACCAACGAATAGGGATTGAGCAGCCACGTCTCTATTAGAAGCTTCAAGCGCCAAATGAAAAAGCCACCCTCGCATCGCTTTTTTCCGTGTGGCAGGCCAAGGCAATTGGTGGCCAGAGCGAGCGGGGTGATGAGATTCGCGAGAAAATGAAGAAAGAGTATGCTGACGCTTGGCAAGGCAATGACATGGAGGGTAGCAAGTATATATATATATATTTATACATATAGAGTAGGTGAGCAAATGAAGAGCAGTTGTCACAGACCTTGGATTTGTATTGATACGAATGCCGAATGCCGTATAATTGCTCCTGGATGAATGAACCGGTTGCAGTGCAATCACCTGCACAAAACAGAAGAAGCAGATTTACACGTCTGACCGTCACACTGTGCACCATGGCCTTTCTGACCCGAAACTTCATTGCAAAACTTCGGGAACCAAGGAACGTCGGGCAAAGGAAAAGCAGGAGAAAGCCGAAAAGGCTGCCTGAGTTCTGCCAGATGGTAGAGATCAAAGCAGCCCTCCTTAATGTGCGGCGGTTTTTGGCCCTTGAAACCGATATTCTTTCAACAAGTCTTTCGCGGTGTCATGGACATACTCCGCTGAGTTTGCGCCCTGAGAAGATGGAATCTGCTGACCATGAGAACAGGGAAACCTACACCACAGCTGACTAGTTTACTTGGCATTGCGTTTCATGATGCTATTGACCACAGCATAGTTCCTGTCTTCATCAGGGTGCCGTTTGGGTGGGCAGCCTATACTTGCCGGCGGTGATAGTCCTACATTGCAGTTCTGACTGCCATGCCGCTGTGAAACGATGACGCTGTAATTGCGCGCTGAACTCTTTGACCTCGCTCCTGGAGGCGGAAAGGGTATCGAGACGATCGGAGCAAGGACGCTACTAGGGGCTCCTGGCCTTACCACTGGGAACAAGAAGCTACTGGGAACAAAGGGCACTACTACTAGGAGCAAAAACGGTTTTCACTTGTAAACGCCCGACCCGTCATGCAGACGACCCGACGACCGTGAGTCCGTTGCCACCATTTGTCCACTACCGTCAGCGTACGACTCGCAGATCCTTTCTCGGACTCGAGAACCTAATTGTGGTGGAAGTATTACGAAGAAGTGCAATCTTCAAGTTTGAAGAAGTGATTGAAGAGTCACTTGAAAAGTAAAAATTGGGCGGAAAGTACGCATTAATTCTTCCCGTTCTATTTTTTTTAAATGGGATTTGAAGTGGTTTCTAGCCGCAAACATGTACTTCTTGAATGCTCGGCGGTCGTTTTATGGTATCTTTCGACCACTTTGCCCTGTCCAGGTCGCGTTTTAAAGGGGAAGTCGGGCACAGCCAGCAAGCAGTTCTTTTCATATCGACAAAAGACCAAGCTCATGAAAGCTTTTGAAGCTTGTTCACCTTCGTTGGTGAAATATCTTAGATGGTCTTATTTTTTCATCGAGTCATTCTTCGAGAGAAAGAACCTTCAGAAGTTGAGTTGAGGACTGGTTGGCGTGCCATTGTTTCACACCAAAGTGTGCACTTCATAGTCATCCTTATAGTCTTGTTCCTTTGGAGGCTTGAACATATGAAAGCATTGGATCTTGTGCCAAGCTGGAGATGGAAAGAAATTGGCAAAGCTTTGGCCTAAGAAACGACCCAAATTTGCGCTGACTTGATGCACCGGGACATGATTCGCTCAAAAGCGCTTTAATTGTACAGCTTCAGAAAGCAACCAATGACAACAATACAACTTCTGCACCTTCTATTGGCCGTCAAAGAAAAAGGCTGATTTGGGTTTAAGTTGCCCTGCAACCTTGACTCCATACCCGAAATTTCAGCGGATTGGGCCGTAGGGGGTGTTTCCGCACCCGATTTCGGAAAGTCTATTTACAACCCATGTCCCAATCACAGCTGCTTCCTGTGATCAAGAAGAGGTCGAACTTTTGAACGAACATCTCCGGACTATCGAGAAACCATGAAAAACAGATATGACCCAAGCGATTCCTGGGCGCCATGGATGGCTGCAACTTTGCAAATATGCGGTGGCTGAATATCTTGGGTCTATTTTTGCTGTGTTTTGCTGCAGATCTACTTTATCGTTCACGAGCCGACCTAAGAGTCTCGAACTTCGTGCATTGGACTATGTCTAAGATACCGGCATCGACATCAACACCACCAAGTGCAGCATCAGGTGTACCAGCTCACACTCACACTTCATCATCTCCATCCTCCTCTTTGTCAATGTCGCTGCCGGCGTCCTCATCGTTGTTGTCATCATCGTCATCAACAACAAGACCAGCAGTGACTGTCCCATCAACAATCTCATCACTTTCACCACCTGCCAATGATTTGGCTGTGCAGAGGCTGGAAGACTTGTTGAACCTTGATGCAAGGCAAGAGGTGTTTCATTCAACCTACACTCGCGAACATTTTATCACATACTTTTGGGATCCTTCCTGGGCGGGTGGTTTCAACAACCGCTTGCAAGCACTCGAGCTGACCCTTCTGCTAGCAGTGCTTTTGAATCGCACCTTAGCCATTCAACCGTTTTCAGATGCTCACGAAAGAGGGCAGGATGTCAGCTACACAAAGTATCTGGAAACCATTTCAGCTTGGCCTGTAGTGGAAAGAGTACACCAGGAGCTTGGCAAAATCCAGCCACTACCCTTGGATCAAAAAAAGCAATGCAGGCTGGACGTATTTGAGCTTCTCGCAACAATCAGTCCCGCAATGGACAATGTAAGAACGGTGAAGTATGATTGCGGTTGGGCATGGTGGCCTGAAATCTTCGCTTCCAAATATCATACCACCATACGCCGTTTTTTGTCAAGACATGTCCGCTTCCATCGATCACTTTGCAACGGTCCTTTGATTGACGGACCTTATGCAGCGCTTCATGCAAGACTGGGTGATCGGGCAGGAATTTCTCTTGTAAATTGTTCACACTTTGGCTTTGATTTCACAGCACCGAAGTCTTGGGAAAGCAAAGGGATGAGCGCTGCAGAAAGGGAGTCGATCATGTTTGGATGTGTGAAAGGCCGAAACTTAAGGCATGTGGATGTCATAACAATCGAAGAAGCTATGAAGGCTTGGACGTTGCCATCACACATACAGACCGTTTACATCGCGACCAATAGACCAAGCTCATCCAGGATTTCAACCATCAAAGAATTTTTGAAGGCACGTTCACTGAAGCCTTTGCTGTGGGAGGACTTGTCGATGAGCCTAGCATCTGCTCGTGATGGAACAGCCATCAGAATTGTTGAACAGTGCTTCTTGTTTGAAAGGCTATGGATCTTTTTGTTGACCCACCTTTGATCTTGATTGGTACCCTTTCTCAAAACAAGCCAGTAGAACGGTTGAAGTTGAATAGCCTTTGAAGGTTTTGAAAGCTGCAAGTTTTCGGGAAGCCAGCGTTAGGCATCGCCCTCTATTCTGATGCCTTCTTACCTGGATGGCCAAGCACTTGGGACAGTACCGTGATTTTTCGCCGGATGGACAACATTTCGGGCAAGGAAGCAGCTGATGCCCACACCCAGTTTGAACTCCTGAAGGAGAGTTTGTCACGCTACTACACCAACTACTTTGGCCTTTCCAATTGTTGGAAATGATGAGTGTCTTGGTTGTGATTTCGCTCTCTTTCTGTTCCTGCTGTAGGCTATGAGTATTGTATTGACTGAAATAATTTTCTAGAGTTTCACTATTTCCAATTACCGTCGTAAACACTTTCCACCTCACTTCGGGTGTCCACAAGGAGCTTGCTGGTGCAGACAGAGTTTTGGACCCGACCAACGATACGGCGCTGGTGTTTCGGGGCCACGGACTTTGGCCTGCCCAACGGTTTGGCGCGTCACCGACAGGTGCGTGACGTTGAGAGTGGCGTGTACGTCTGGCGAAAAAAAAAAAAAAAAAAAACACATTCTGCGCTTTGTGGGTTGAATTGCATCATCTAAGTTGCAGCAAAGGTTCGGACTGCTTTAAAGGTCCGGTTTTGCGGGTTCCTTTGCAGAGAAAGACACCGACGATCGAGTTTCAATGCAATGTATGAACCATATGATCAGGAGGTTCACTTATAAAAGCCAAAATGCTGGTGAAGGGTTCGCATGCTGCATGCCTCTGATGCGATGCGGAGGCGGCTCCACACATTTGTAACTGTGGCAGACCAAACATGCCCGCAAACTTCGTTTGCATTCAGGTGCACAAAACGAGAAGTGTACCTGTTCAGCTCAGGTGAGCTCGCCATTCGATGAACATCGTTTGGCTCAAGTTGCGCGGATAGAAAAGGTCCGTGCATCACGATACGACACACCCCAACCTTCCATA